CCGCCCCGACGGCGCGGCCCCCCCACGGCCCCGCCCCCGAGGCTCCGCCCCCACTCCGAGGCTCCGCCCTCTCCCCCGCGTGCCGTCCCGTGCCCGGTTCGAGCCGTCCCGTGCCCGGTTCGAGTCGTCCCGGCGGGAGTGACGGGGCAGGATGAGCAGGAGATGGAGAGGGTCGCGCCGGGTTGCTCAGGTTGCACCAGGGGAGGTTCAGGTTGGGGATTAGGAAGAATTCCTGCACGGAAGGAGCAGTTGAGCATCGGAACAGGCTGCCCAGGGAAGTGGTGGAGTCCCCGTCCCTGACAGTTTTCAAGAAATGTGTAGATGAGGCTCCCAGGGACATGGTTTAACAGCCATGGTGTTGAGGGGCTTACGGTTGCACTCGATGACCTTGAAGGTCTTTTCCAACCATAAGGGTTCCATGGTTCTACCAGTGAGCTCCAGGAGTCCCAACCATCCACTGCCGTGCAGCTGCCAGAGAGCTCTGTGTCATGGCAGATGTTACGTCATGGCTCCATAAAAGGAGGCTGGAACCTGGGCACTTGTTGCAGGAGGAGAAAAGGCTCTCGCTGCTCCTGAAGATCTGAAGTTGAGGAACAGGTTTAGTGCCCTGCAGGGTGAGGAGGAACTAGGCAAGGTTTCAAGGAAGCAGCTGGGCTGGCAGCCTCATGGGAACAGCTGGAAGACTCATGGGGCGAGTGATTGCTGTGGGAGCCTCCCCGCTGCAGGGGACGGGGACAGCAACCTGCAAACCTGGCCCCTTGTCCAGAGACATCCTGCCAAGGGCTCAAATATGAGTTGTCATGGAGAGACTGCCAAGACTTGTCCATGCGTCTGACTCTTGCCCCTCTGCTGCTCTTCCATGTGGGCATTAGCGATACCAAAGGCAAATTCTCAAAGAGAAGATCTTGGGATGGTGGTCAAGGATCTGGAAGCCCAGGTCTTTTTCTCCTCAACTCTGTCAATGAAGGGGAAGGATGGGAAAAGGAGTAAATGGGTTTTCCTGGTTAACAACTGGCTGCACTGCTGGTGTTGGCAACGGGGTTTTGGTTTCTACAACCATGGGCCACAGTTTGAAGATCGACAGCTGGTGGGGAGGAATGGGATGTACCTCACTAAGAGGGGCACGTGTGTCTGCCAGCAAGTTGGCCAGCCTGGTAAGGAGGGCTTTAAACTAGGCAAGATGGGGGAAGGAGTTATAGAGTTATAGGGACACAGCAGTCATCAAACTGCAGTTTAAGGCTTTGGGCACTGCCTCCCATAACGTCCACATAGGCAAGCTCAGGAAGTGCGGGCTAGATGAGTGGGTCGTGGTTGAGAACGGGCTGAATGGCAGAGCCCAGAGGGTTGTGATCAGTGCCACAGGGAGGCCTGTTGCTAGTGATGTCCCTCAGGGGTCCAATCATGTTGAGCCATCAGTGAACCTCATCATGTTCAATAAAGGCAAGTGTAGGGTCCTGCACCTGGGGAGGAATCACCCCATGCCTCAGGACAGTCTGGGGGATACCTGCTGGAGAATAGCTCTGCAGAGAAGCCCTGGGCATACAAATGGACAAGTTAACCATGAGCCAGCAAGGTGCCCTTGTGGCCAAGAAGGCCAATGTCTCCTGGAGTGCATTAGGAAGAATGTTGCGAGCTGGTTGAGGCAGCTGATCCTCCCCCTCCACTAAACCCTGGTGAGGCCACATCTGGAGTGCTGTGTCCAGTTCAGGGCTCCCAAGCACAAGAGGGACATAGAACTGCTGGAGAGAGTCCATTGTAGCACTACGAAGATGATTAGGGGACTGGAGCATTTCTCCTATGAGGAGAGACTGAGAGAGCTGGGCCTGCTTAGCCTGGAGAAGAGAAGGCGGAGGCAGAATCTTATTAGTGTGTACAAATACCTGAAGGGAGGGTGTCAAGAGGATGGGGCCAAACTCTTTTCAGTGGTGGCCAGCGACAGGACAAGGGGCAACAGCCACAAGGTGAAACACAGCAAGTTCCATCTGGATATGAGGAAAAAGGTCTTGACTGTGAGGGTAACAGCACTGGAGCAGGTTCCCCAGAGAGGCTGTGGAGAGTCCTCCTCTGGAGATACTCAAAACCTGCCTGGACATGATCCAGTGCAACGTGCTCTAGGTGACCCTGCTTGAGTAGAACGGGTTGGACTGGGTGATCTCGAGAGGTCCCTTCTAACCTCAACCACTCTGTGACTCACATGGAGGATGCCTGGCCTGGAGCTCATTGGGATCCTGCCCTGGGTGCATATGTGCAGTGGAATGATGTATGTGTGGGGGGTGCCTGGCACCCATTTGGAGATGTTGCACTTTTCCAGGTTTGCCTGGAGTCACTTATTCCCTTCTACAACTACTTCAGGCAGTTGTGGGGAGCTGGGAGAGTAGACACGGGGGCCATCCACCACTAAGTTGGGTGGCAGGAAGAGGATGGCACAGCTGCGATGGAGCAGAGGGGCCTGTGGGATGACATCAGCTCATCTACCCAACCGAAGTGATCACACCCAAGGGAACGGGGAGCTTCTGGTCCTCAGAGCCTCCCTGGGATGGTTAAGTAGGAGTGAGAGTACCCTGAACCTTGGGGTGCTGTTGTGCAGGAACAGCAGGATCTCCCCAATGCCAGCACTCTTCTGCAATGGGGCCTTGCACCCAGGGCCTTGACCCTCCTGCCATGCGCATATAGGGAATGCACCACTTCACCTGCTTGCTGCAGTCTGTAAAACGTCTTTTTATGGTTGCACCACAACTGCTTCCTCTTTTGCACGTCCAGCAGCATGAGGCTGATAGGAAAGCACCCTAACGCCGCGTGTCTCGGTGACATCCTCTATCCCATGTCAGCTCTGAGCTCTCGGGGACAGCTTGCAGTCTGCAATTTTCTCCACTCCCAACTTCCTGGGCATTACTCTCGCTTCTCGGGCCACGGGGATGGAAAGCAGCCCCTGGGTGCAGAGTGGGAAGGAAAGAGGAAGGGTGCCGTAGGAGGGGGCTGGTATGTGAACATGTTGCAGTGACTCACTGTCTGGGGCCAGCCCCTGCTTATGGTACTTCTCCGGACCCTAGAAGACAGCCAGCTGCAGCTGCCGCAGAGATCGCACAGATATGTATTTTTTGCCTCCACCCGCCTCTGCTGCCGTCTATGTCTCCATCTTGCTTGGCTGCACCCGGCCCTGCTCGGCTGTTGAGGTCTCCACAGCCAAGCGCCCAGGTAGGTCTCGCTACCTTTTTCTGGGGAAGACTCTTCTTGGGGAGCTGGTTAAGGAAGGCCAGGAAGGGCTGGCTGCCACCTGGGAGGCAATGGGGCAGAGTGGAAGGGCAGGAGTTGGGGGACAGATCTACCAAGGTGGGCTGGGGGACGGATTTACTACCTTTTTTTTTGGATCATTTTTACTGTCCATATTGAAAGCCCAAGTGGTGACCTGAAGCTCTGCTGCTCTTCTCCTCCCCATAGCAGCAAAGATAAAATTACGTCTGCTGTAACCTGAAATTTCCTCTGCCTCCTCCACAAGTGGGAAGGACAGAGGTGGCAGCATCTGCAGGAAGCTCTTGGACACAACTGGTGCCCTAGTGTCCTCCCCAGGTGTCCTGGAGACCACCTCAAAATCTCTAGGGTTTCAGAGCTGGGGCTGTTCATCTCAGGCTAATTGGATGCCATCTCACGGCATGCCTTGTGCTCATGCTGGTGCGGGTGCCCATGTTGCTTCCCAGTCCCAGAGTGGGACGTGGCGCTTCGAGACTGTCATGGCTCCTTGGACCCAGTTGTCGTGGCTCACCGTGTACAAGTAGCCAAGACAGAGCCTTGTCCCCACCAGGACTCACTGTGTGCCTGCTCAATGGGCAACTCAGCGCCCGCGGATCCAGGACACACAGTCCAACCCGCATGGGTCGCTGCAGCAACGGGTGCAGTCACTCAAGACACCTGGTTGCTCCGTGTGCTTAGGCTCAGGGGACTGCCCTGGCCGTTCCCCAGTGCGGGGCATTGGCAGTGCTGGTTGATAGATGCCAAGAAAAGTTAACATCTGGGGTTAACATCTGGGAGCTGTGCAGCGGGGTCGGAGGGAAGGCTTTAGGAAGGGTCTGTTTAGCTTTGTTGTAGGATCAGAGAGGGGAGCTGCTCAACACCCTGGGGTGGCGTGCAGGCAGGCTGAGCCTGGTTGTGCTTTTAGAGTGAAAAAACATTAACAAGAAGGTGTGTTCTTCTTTTTTTTTTTTACGTGATCCAAGACCTTCCTGTTCTGTGCTCGTGCTCTGCGTGCAGGCTGAGACCGCAGGCAGCAGGGGCTGCGCAGCAGTGGCCAAGCAAGGGGGAGGCTGCGTGGGGAAGGGGTGAGAGACCCGGAACTGCCCAGGCGGCAGAGCTGGGCACGTCCTGGCGGGGCAGCCCGTCCGTCTTCATCAGAGACCGGGTATGTGAGGGCTCTGCCGTTGATGCCAAGGCTCTCCCACAGCTGCTTTTTGCCACCTGACAGATGCAGGGACCACATGTTACTGGGGTACACGGACAGGATCCCTGCTTCTTCCTGGGCTACTTAACCCTTCTTATACTCGCTGCATTTCTGGAGGGACTCACTGCATGCTAGATCCAACTCTAGGTTTGGGTCAGCTGTGTGAGCCCGAAGCCCTGAAAGGCTGAAGTCTTCCCCAGAGCATCTGGGCACATAAAGGGGTACTGCCAGGTCCCTTGGTGGGACCCAGTGCTAGGTGCATCCTGGCACGAATGTGCTAGGAAAAGGGATGTTGTCAGAGAGATGGGACGTGTGTGTCTGCGCGAGTGTGAGCACCCCTTGTAGGCTCTGGACTGGGTTGCTCTTCCTCTCCAAGCCGGGTTGGGCTGGCACTGGGATGACCGCAGTGCTGGGTGAGTGGCATGTCCTGAGCAGGGCTCTGTGACAGGGCAGCTTTGTGGCTCCATGGCTTTTCCTTGTTGACCACAGTGTCTTCCTTGGGGATGCCGCTTTTCCACAGCCTTTCACACTCCCGTGGGTCTGCTGTCCTATGTGTGGCGCAGGAGTGAGACCCTTGAGGTTGATAATGCTTGGACAACTTGGGAACACACTGCCAGCAAGGGTAGATTTTGCCCCAGGTGAAGTACATTGAACATCCCCAGGGACCGGGGTGTTGGAGACTAGGATGCAGGACTCCTGAGTCCCAATTCCTATGTTGTTGACCAGGGGGATGTCAGCTCTTGCTTTTGCTGGCTGTCCTGCTGGGAGAGGAGACAACTCCCTATATGGTCCCAGATTGGAAGGGGCCATGAGAGGGTGCTCTTGGACAAGACTAATTCCTTCTGTCCTCCTCAGTGCGTGGCAACGGGCGAGCCTTGATCCCTCTCACTCCCCAAGAAGAGGTTGAGTGCCCCAGCGCCTCTGTGGAAACTTTTCTCAACAGCACCGTGACCACTCATGTCCTCCCTGCTCTCTACTCCGTGGTGCTGCTTGTGGGGCTGCCAGCCAATGCTCTTGCCTTCTGGGTTCTGGTGACCAAGTTCAGAAGTTCCAGCACCTTCTTCCTTCTTAACCTGGCCAGTGCTGACCTGCTTTTTGCCCTCCTGCTGCCCTTCAAGATCTCCTACTACCTTTTGGGCAACCAGTGGCTCTTTGGGGACTACCTGTGCCGCACCATGGTAGCTCTCTTCTATGGGAATATGTATAGCTCCATCCTATTCCTCACGTGCATTGGCCTGGAGCGTTGCATCTCTGTGGTGCACCCATTCCTGTGGAAGGGATCCAGGTGGAAGTGGGGCAGAGTGGGTGTCTCTGTGGGGATTTGGCTGGCAGTGGGGCTGGGCACGAGCCCTATGCTCTTAATTCCCCAGACAAAGCACATCTCAAGGCTGAATATCACCACGTGCCATGATGTCTTAGAGAAGCACGACCAGAAGTTCTTCTTCTATTATTTCTTCTCCCTGGTAGCACTGGGCTTTGGCCTGCCCTTCGTGCTCATGACCCTCTCCTATGGCTGCATCCTGGTGCGGCTTGCGGCCAAGGGGAAGCAATATGGGCATGCGATACGTGTCCTGGGCCTGGTCCTCCTCGTCTTCATCCTCTGCTTCACCCCCAGCAATGTGCTGCAATTCCACCACTACGTGCTGAGTGCCACGGGATGCCTCAATGTCACCTACGTCTGGTACGCCGTGGCGCTGGCGCTCAGCGCTTTCAACACCTGCTTTGATCCCTTCATCTACTACTATGTCTCCAGGGATTTCCGGGCCTGCTTCTGGGATGGAGGCGCCTGCTGCCCCAGGCACAGCCCCCTGCCTGGATACACATCCTAACCTGGCAGCAGGCATAGGCAGAAAACCCCCCTGGACTGGAGGTTTGTTGTGACTTTCCCAAAGGCCATGGGAGCTCCTGGACCCATGGACCCCCAGGCAGATGCTGGGAGCAGCCGGCTGCTCTCACTGGTGCAATGGTCCCATCTAGGACAGGTCCACTTCTCCGAAACTCACAGCAGCTTCCCCTTTGCCATCCCAACCACAAAGGCAGCAGTTCCTCCACGGACGCTCGCAGGCTCAGCCCCTTCCCAGCAGGTCACCGGTCCCGTCTCCTCCGCGGCCGCCGCGCAGCCCCTCCGTGCCACCCTGCCCCTGCCTCCCACAGCTGGGCCTGGCACCACCCGGCTCCCTGCCCGCGGGCCTACGGCTGTCCTCACTGCTCGCCCTGCATTGACCAAGCCCTCTGGTGTACAAATAAACCTTTATTTACCTCGGGTAATGGAAGAAACTGGTATAAATACGCCAGCTGAGCAGGCACTGTCCTCCATCGCCAGGACTATGTGCTGGGCGCGCATGGGCCTGGCTCCTTACAGACCCCCATCCCACTGCTTTGCCATGGTAAGTGCAAGAAGGGATGGGGGGGGATAGCTCGGGTGCCTCTGTCCTGCCCAAGAGTGCAGTGCTGGGGACAGGATGTTGGGCAAAGCTGAGACGTGTCTCGGAGGACCCATGTGGGGAGGTTGAGCCCTTGCGTGCTCAGCACCCGTCGCCGTTGTGCTGCACAGGTAGGCACCTCACGCTTCCCGGGCTGGCACTGTGCCCGGCAGCCGAAACTTGCAGACCTCATGTTTCTGCTTTTATTTCCCCTTTTACATGCTTCCTTTAGCGCTGGGCCTGGCCCCTGTGTGCCTGGCCACCCAGCATGGATGTGCCCCCCGCGCCAGAGGCACATGGCAGAGTCCCTGGCCTGTGTCCTGCTGGGCGTTGGGTGTCCTGGTCCCCCAGGGCCAGCCTTGCCTCGGCTCCCAGTCTGGCTCTGCGCTTAGGCCAGGAGGAGGGACAACATAGGTGCCTCGATGTGGGATCGCTTGGTACCCAGCACCCCTTGCCCAGGTACCTGCCGCGTGACGTGACTTGTCCCCTTGCCACTCCAGGTCACGTGGCCACCCATTTGGCATGGCAGGTCATGTTACCTGCTGGCCTGGCCCTGGCCCCGGCCCCGGCGCCGGTCCTGCTCCTAGTTCTGATCCTGGGGCCTGGCTTTCGTTCTTCTTGAGGATGATGCTGCTGAGCTCCTGGATCAGTTTGTTGTTGATGGGTGAGGAAGGCTGAATGTTTCTCTTCTTAGGAATTTCCAGGGATGTCTCTGTGCTGGGACCGGGATTGCTCTGTTGTATGGGCACCTGGCCCTGGTCCACAGCTAGTGCTAGAGAAGGTTCCAGGTTCCTCTCAAGAGAGGCTGTTTTGGTGGGTCTGAGCACAGTGGACCCTCTGTGGGCTGGGCTTTTGTCACACTCGAGGTTCAAGCCCCTTTCCAGGGACAGGGCTTTGGTGACAACAGGACCTGAGACCCTCTGGGCTGGGTTGGTGGGCATTGAAGAGCGCAGTGCTGGAGTCGGGGACTGCTCAGAGACTGGGGATGGCTTCCTGGACCTGGCCACGGAGGGGATAGATGACAGGCCTGCCAGCAGTTCATGGTCCAGCTCCAGTGAGCCCAGCTCGGAGAAGTTGCCCACTTCCTCATAGACAGGTTCTGTGTCCATCTCCTTTTCCTGCTGCTCCTCCAGAGAGTCCTGGTGCATCTTCATGGGCTGGAGGAAAATAGCATGGCTGGGCTGAGGGGCTGGCCCAGGAAAATCCAGGTGCTCCCTGCTTATGGGGGCTCCCCAAAAACCTGCTGGGCCTTGTCGCCTTGCCATCAGGTTGACCTCTCCGAAGTGAAAAGGAAAGCAGGACCCATACAGCGCCCACAGCCATTCAAGACAAGGACAGGAACACCAGGCGGCCCTTGGAGAAAACCGGGTGGAGAGGAGGAGAAAAACCTGCTCCATCGCATCTCTCTTGCCCAGCCCCTCTGGGCAGTGCAAGGCCCAAAAGGGGCAGTGGAAGAAGCTGGGCTGGTCCTTGGTGGTCTTGGCTATGCACATGAGCATCATGTGGGGAGTCACATGTGGGGCACGTGGGGCAATAGCCACCCCAGTGTGCAGGATGGCCTGGGTGCCTACATGAGCACGGGCAGGATGCTGCAGACAGTCCTTGCCCTTAGGAGCTACAGAGCAAAGCCTACATAAAAGCACTTCACACATGCAGATACTTACAAAGAACATGGACAAAGTCCTTCGCGTGTGCAGGCGGCGCTAGAAACAGAGGAGACAGGCAGAGATAAGCACCTGGTAGCACATAGCAGGGTCAGGGCAGCAGGAAAACCTGCCTCTATAGGCACAGGAGGGGCAGCAGCAACGGGCTTCGCTCAGAGCACAGCCCCGGCACGCTGGCACACAGTCCTTCCCAGCACCCAGGGCACCAAAGCAGTCCTACATGCGCCCTGCATGCAGGGGCATCAGGCGTGGGCACACAAACACAGCACATGGCACGCACACAGTGCTGGGTGCGCACACACGCACCCAAAGCACACGCTTGGCCCTTGGCGGCACCACAGCCCTCCTCAAACTGGTCTTGGTGTGGGTGAAGGAGCAGGGGCAGCTGCCATGGCCTTACCAAGGTCTGGTTGGCAGAGAGCATGGTGGCGTCGGTGCTGTCCCCATGGAGGGGCACCAGTGGCATCGTGCCGAACTTCTGCTTGGCAAGGTCGGACGAGGAACGCCGGCGCATGATCACGGGGCGCAGGTCATCGTGCTGTGCACAAGGACGAGGAGTGTCACACCAGACTGCCCTGCCAGCCCCCAGCCTGTCCCAGCCCAGCTAGGTGGCATGGCCAGTCTTCACCCACCTGAGCCTTGAGGATGCTGGTGGTCCAGTCCCACAGCTCAGCCTGCCCCGAGCACACCAGGTACCTGCAAAGGGCTCAGCTGAGAGGATGCCAGGGCTAGCAGAAGCCAGGTCACCTTGTCACTTTGCCTGTGAGCCTGGGACTTCCCCCTACAACCAGGTCCCTAGTGGGAAATCCCCAGGACTGGGATCAGGAGTGGCCCTCTGTCTGACCAAATCACTGCTTCAGTGAGAGACAGGAGCTTGCCCAGTCTTTAACTGGGCAGCTCAACTTGGTTGTCCAGTGTCACAGGCAGGCAAAGTGTTCAGCCAGTGGTGGCACTAAGGACCCGGTGCTGGGCTCTACACAGCATCAGCAGGGGCAGGGAGACAGGGATGGGATCAGCAGGATACACAGAGATAGGGCAGGCAGGGAGCACTCTCCCTATGGTGACAGAGTGCACAACTTGCTCCCTTAGCCAGGGCTGCCACAGCTCCAAACCCCTCTCCGGCTGCCCATCCAGCTCAGGGCACTGACTGTCCCCCAAAGCCCCCATCCTGTGCCACCTCTGCAACCCCAGAACTCTGCCCCTAGTGTCCAAGCCAGGCTCTAATTTCACCTGTCCCCGGGACCCTCTTGTGTCCCAGGGACATGATAAACCTGTTTGTCCTGGCCCCATTAGAACTGGGGACGGAATCCATTTTGCTGCCCTCCCAGCCCCAGGGTGGCAGGGGCAGACACTTACAGCTGCTGCTTGTCCAGGGTCAGAGTGAAACCCCACCTAAAGAAGGAAGACACAGGTTGTGGGGCAGCACCGCCAAAAGTCACATGTGGTTGTGGGCTCATGACTAGTGGGCTGGAGGGACCAGGATGGCCCATGGGGCCCAGACCCAGGATGGCTTTGGGCTCCGCTTGGTACGGGGACATTCCCAGTGTCCAGGTGCCGTGGTACAGGGACTGAGGGCTGTGGCTGATCGGGGTAGGAGGCTGTCCCGGCTCCAAGAGCCCGGGAGGGGAGAGGGTGTAAGGATGCATTCTCCAAGGGCATGTCCAGTGAAGATCCAACTTACTGGCCTGGAGGCTTCAGCTTCTTCCGAATGCCCATGTAAACCTTGGCTGCGTCCAGGAGCCACTCTCGCTCCGGCTTGGCGCTCTGGGGAATGGGAATCAGAGGGTTTTACAGCCCAGCTTGGGGCCAGAGTCCTCCCGTCTGCTCGCCCTGCTAGGAGGAGGATCCTGCACAGGTGAGGCAATGCCATCGCTTGTCCCTGCGACTGCAGGGACATCCCAGTTCTCCTCCCGGGCATGGACAGATCTGGCCCTGCTGTGTCCCCCAGGTACCCTCTTCTCCTTGAGCAGCAGCAGCTTCCGCTCCCGGATGACGAAGTAACGCTCCTGAAACTTGTTTCCCAGCAGCTTGGGGGGCTCCTCGCGGCATTTCAGCAGCCCACACTTGGGAGTCTCGCGCTTGGCACCTGCATAGGGGAGGAGATATGGCATCAGTGTGGCCTTGGGGACATATGAGGGTGTATCAGGAGGTATCACGAGGTGTCCCTTCTGCGGGCAAGGCTGTGTCCATGAGGGTCTCAGGGATACGCTGGGCAGAGAGCTGGGACCCTCTGGTGCACCAGAATGTGTTGCCTTACCTGTGAAGAGACAGCTGCCCTCGCCGATGGGGACCTTCCTCACCAGCAGGTAGGCGCTGCTGGGCTCTGGGAGCTTGCACCACTGCAAGGCCTGCTCCAGCACCTTCTCCTTGGGGTGCAGGGGCCGCTCTGTGGAGGCAGGGATGCCCTCATCACCGTGCCTCGTCCCCTGTGCCAGCCTCCATTCCCCCTGCTCTCTACCTGAGGGCAAACTGCCCCCCGTATCCCGTCTCCCTCCTTGCCAGTCCAGCCATGCTACGAGCACCCTCTTCCCACCATCCCCATGATGCTCACCCAGCTCCCCATTCTCCAGGGCTTCAAAGGTCAGCCAGATATCCAGGCTGGCTGCCACGTTGCGCATCTCCAGCACCTGGTTGGTGAGCTCCTCTGCTGTCATCGTGGGGGACACCTGGGGCCGGATACACAGGGTGCTGTGGTGGGGGTGGTGGTGGGACAGGTCTCCTTGCCAGTGGGCATGGGCCCGGGCCCACCAGGGACAAGCAGAGCTGAGGAGTCTGTGCCTTCTCCTCCCTTCCTCCAACAGGACCCTTCCTTGGGACTCACCTTCAGCGTGACGCAGCAGTCAGGCAGCTTCTGCTCCAGGTAAACCTCGATGATGAGGTCTCCTGCCTGTGAGAGCTGTGGGGAAAGAGCAGGTGGCGCTGGGTATCATGCTGGTTTTAGTCTGGTATTCCTGACCAAGGGCTGAAAAGGGTATCTCAGAGAGCAGGGGGCTGCTTCTCCTTTGGGTATGAGGCTTACGGGGATGAGTGAAGGGGAGACAAAGTGGAGGAGGCCCTTCCCCTAATATTTGGGCAAGTTGCAGGGAGGTGTAGAAGAAGAGAGGGGACCCAGAGTGGAGGTTCTGGTAAGCAGAGTTGCCCCCATCCCCCAAACAGTCCTACAAGCCCATAGTGCCCAGCATGGCAGAGGCCATCAAGTGGATCTCCAGTACCTGGGTGTCCTTCCAGGTGGTGATCAGACTGTTCTCCAGATCCATCTGGGATACCTGGTCCTCATCAATCTATTGGAGGAAGGGCACAGGGTGAGCAGCATGAGAGGGGAGGCATGGATTTAAGGGGAAGGGGGATATGTACTAAGGAACGTGGGGCCAAGAAGGAGGGATGTGGGGGAGGAATGGGACTGCAGAGGAGGATGCAGAGGAAGGCACATGGGACAAGTGTGGAATGGGGCTGGCACGACCGCTACAGGGAGCTTACGTTAAAGATGCTGACATAGTTGTCGATGAGGTCTTCCATCACCTTGACCTCGTGCTCCCCTTTGCCATCAGTCTGGAAGAGGCTGGGCGCAAAGAGCAGTGACAGGTTCTTGGTGCTCATCTGGTTGAGGTCGGCGCATTTCTGCACTCTGGGGCAAGGGGACATGGGCACGAGGTGCCAGCATGAGTGACTCTTTTCCATCGCTTACAAACTCACCTAAAAAGTCACTCCGTATTCCCCCAAATTGCCAAGCATGCAAACTTCATGCCAGGTAGTTCCTGTTTGCAGGACTTCCAGTTGCTGTTGAACCAGACAACAGCCCCATATCGTGCTCTTAATTGCAGATAGAGGTCTATTTCTTTTTCCCCTTCCGGGACAAGGCTGCATTTAACATCCTGCAAGGGGGTATTGCCCAGTCCCCAACCTCCTCTCTCCCTGCTGGAAGGCAATTTTGGGAATGTTTCTACCTTTGTCCCTAGAGCAGCACTCTGCAGCACACACCAGCATCAGGTCCAGGAGCTGGCGAGCAGACGATGGGAGCCAGGTTTCTGGCTAGTGGGGACACCCAAACCTGCTGCATGGCCTTGGGGACCCCAGGTGGACCAAGAGACCTAACGGGGAGGTGGCTGAGGGGCACACGCACCGGTAGAGATGCCCGATCAGCGCAGCCAGGGTCTTGTGGTTGAGGCGAGGCAGGCGATGAATGAGCTCCTTGTACCGCTCCAGGCGCTGGGGCTTGGAGGAGATTGCTGGTAGGAGGAAACCAAGCCAAGGAAAATCATGAATCCAGGCAAACCAAGAGCCAGCATGGCACTGGGACTAGCACTGAGACCCCATTTTGAGGACACCATCTCCCGTGTCCGCAGCAGGCAGCACAGTGTGGAGAAGGGGTTGGGGTGAAGGAGGCTACCTGCAGCCTCCTTCCACTGTGGGTGCAGCTCCAGGGTGAAGACAGGATCCTCAAGCTCTCGGAAGAACCTCTTCAGCACATCCGTGACGTCCTCAATGAAGTTGTCGCTGATGCGCAGTTTGACGTTGCGCGCATCCCGCCGAAACTCCTCCATTAGTACCTTGATCCGGGACTTGGCTCCATTCTTGCGGTAAATCCCCTCGTGCCGTAGTCCTGGGGAATGGATGTGAAGTCACAGGGTCCTGCTCAGAGGTTCCCACTTGTGCTGCAGCTTAGACAACAGCTCCCCGCTGCTCAGAGCCATCGACCATGCTGCACATGCCCCTGCCTGGGGCCAGCGGCCTTGCCCACGGGCAAGCCGTGGCGCTCACCGTACTGCGTGATGAAGGCGATGCAGCTGTCCACGATGATGGGGATGTCCCCGCGGCTCAGCTGCTGGTCCCGCAGTGCATTGCCCCGGCCGCCTGCCGACGCCTGGATGTCTGTGTACCATGCGGCCGAGTCTGCCCGCGACAGGCCCTGCAGGTAAAACGTCCTGACAACGACAAGGGCAGAGAACAGGGAATGAGGGCTGCCGTGGTGGGATACCACTGCCTTCCCTGCACGCACAGCCCGGCACCAGGGGCACCACACACCAGTGAGAGACCCCCAGGTAAGCAGGGCTGGCCCCAGTCCTATGCCCCAGCAGCGTCTCCACTGCTCATCTGGGATCAGTGCCTGCCCACGCACAGGTGCCCTCACCCCGGGCAGCCTGCTGAGCTTGCCTGGCCTGCTGGGACACATTCCCCATCCCTGCTGGAGCCAGGGGTGTGATACTGCCCCTCACAAGGCTCACCTCCCCATCTCCACCAGGATCAGCAGCTCCTTCTTCTCCGGTGTTTCCGTCGGGGGGACCATACCTGTGTCGGGGCGAGGGGCAGAGAGGTCAGGCACCAGGGGCTTCTGTTGCACCATGCCCGCCCGCAGCAGCAGAGCAGCGTCCCCACTCTTGCCGCACTCACTGAGCTCCTGCAGCCGCCGCAGGTTGATGCTGTCTTCAGCCCCATCATCCTCGGTGGGGCAGATGAAGAGGTGGGCCTTCTGCAGGATGAAGAAGGCCTGCTGCCACTGCTCGGGGTTGAGCATGCACTTGTAGCGCAGCTGGCCCACGCGCTGGAACTCGTAGCCCAGGAGGCAGTGACAGCTCACTGGCGTGAACCACTGGGCAGCGATGGAAGAGAAGAGCCTGGTAAGGACAGGGCCCAGCTGCGGGGACACTTTTTGGGGAGACGGCAGTGCCGGGTGCCCGAGGATGGGGCGGGCTCACCTTGCCGATGGCGCTGGCCCAGGCCTGCAACGTGTCAGGCCCGTCGAGCCCCAGCTGCTGCACTCTGTCCCCAGTAAGGAAGAGCTCGAGGGTGTAGCGAAACCTGTGGAGACGGAGCCAGCCCGATGCGGCAGCCCTGCACACCCCGAGCCTTCGCCCAGACCCCCTACCCCATTGCACTGAGCCCCCAGGGAGGGGGCAATACCCCTCCTTGCCCTCCCCATGCCCATAGTGGAGACCCTGGGGGAGGTGGCAGGGACAGGGGACAAGGCTGGGGGTACCTTTCTGCAGAGCCAGGGCTGGGGAGCGCGTCGGCCCTGCTCACCCCCAGGGACAGCAGGTCCCTGCTCTCGATGTGGCCCAGGGGCTCGGTGCACTTGTCGGTCTCGTAGAAGAGCAGGGCCTTCTCCAGGGAGCACCAGGCGCGTTGGAAGTCTGCGGGAGCGAGCGGTGAGCCGGGGGCCGGTGAAGGGCAGGGGTGCGGTGCAGGTAGCCGCTGTGCGTCGCCGGCTGCGTGATCTCGTTGTAGACACCCTCCGGGCCCGCCTCCGGGGCGCCTGTGGGGCATGGAGTGGAACATAGGGGAGCAGCCCCAGCCTTGCAGCATAAGCCCAGGGTGGCGATGGGGTGGGTCACAGAAAGGGGGCACCAGTGCCCGGCCACCCTACCCCATCCCAAGGTCACACTGAGTCTGCTGCCCCGCTGTCTTGTAGGCTTGGGACATGCTGTTGAGGCCACGAGCTGTGACAAAGCAGAAGCTCCCCCATGACACACTGCAGGGCTTGAGTGTCCCCGTTACCTGAGTGGTTCCTGGGCCTTTTGCTCTCCAGGCCCCAGAGGTCAGTGCTTGGGGACACCTCGCAGATGCCAGCATCAGCTGCCAGCCCAGCTTCCGCAGACGAGAAGAACTGCAGGACGGTCTTGAGCAGGCCCGGCCCTGCCACCGCAGCGCACAGTGCCTGGGGAGAGACACGCACCCATAGTGACCATGTCCCAGATGGCAGGATCCTCCCCAACCCCTGCCAAGGGTGCTCAAAGACAGGAGCACCATCTCCCACCCTTTCCCACTGCTCAGCAGGGTGGCCCAGGGACGAGGGTGGGCACAGGGAGCCAGGCAGGAGCTCCTGGTGTCTCAGATCCAGAGCTCTGGGGTCATTTCCAGCACCCCAACATGCTACATGCACCCCAAAGTGTCCTTACCTGCAGCACATCATCCTGGGTGGTGAAGTGGGGATGGGGCAGGCGGTACCACCCGTCCCGGTACTTGTGGGAGATGAAGTCCCGTCTCTGCTCAGCGCTCGCGTCCAGGCAGAGGGCCTCGGCGGCGGGCAGGCGTGCGGCCCAGAACCGGTTGGCTCTGTCGTTACCCAGCACGATAAAGAGCTGCAGGGAAGTGCTGTCATGGGGAGCGCCAGGCCCAGCTAGGGGCAGCAGGACGCGTCGCATCCTCTCATCCCCACATCCCCACATCCCCGGTGAGGCTGCACGGCTGCTACCCCACCAGGGAAAGCAGCCTGACCCCTGGGATGCCACTGTCCTGAGTGTCTCTACCTGTACAATCTCATTGGACCAGACGCTGGTGTCAAGCTTCAGACTTTGCACCTTGGAAATATTGGAGCCCAGGCTGCGGTGCTGCCCTGTGGGGAGCAAGCGTGTGAGCATCCAGCGACCTCGCCAGGGCAACTGGCACCAAAGTCAAACCCATACCCAGAACAGCACCTGCCCGCCCGTCAGACCCAGCCTTCATGTGCCACTTGGCTGGACACAGTCCTCCTTCTCATACCCTTCTGGCTCACTCCGTAGATGCCAGCTTGCCCCCACCGTGTACCCACTTGCCCCTGTAGACCCTGGTGCCCTGCAGGGAGCTGCACTAGCCTGCGCACTGCTTGCAGATGACCACACACAGGTTGATGGATGCCCAGTCGGGATTTGGAGCCCGGCAGTCTGCACAGTGTTTATTGGCTTTGTTGGACCAGATCTTTTCCGCCACCTCGTAGTCGTAGAGCGTCTCGGCGATGGCTTCTTGCAGGGCCTCCATCCACTCGCGCTTCTCCCGCTCTGACTCTGCCATGAAGCTGCGAGCACAAGCACAGCTGAACACTCGTGGGCCTGGAGACCCCAGTCCTGGAGCCTGTGGCCCATATGCTCCCACCGCCTCGTTTTGTCTCTCCCCGATGCCTGGGTTACCTGAATATTTTGAGGGGGGTGATGAGCTCGAAGCTGCGGTTCTTGGCCTCCCGGATAGTGGCGCCTCGCATCTCGATCAGGCAGATGCCGATGCCCATTTTAAAGAACTGCAATTCAGAGCGACACTGGTGAGAGGCTGTGCGGGTGATGCCACCTCACTTGTGCTGGGCCAGGGTCAGTGGTGGCCATAGGACCCTGGCCATGCCTGCGATGCCAGGCCTGGAGCCAGGTAGCTGTGCCTAGTACTGCCCAGCTTTGCATCCCTGGGGCTGGGTAATGCCCTGCTCTGCCAAGACCAACCAGACCTGGGATATGGCCACATCTCTCAGTGGTCCATGTGGACTGACGCAGAGCCTCCTGAAAATGTTAAACACAAAAATGAAAGGCAAATTCTGCCTGGAGCATCTGAAACCCAGCCTTTCAAATCCCTCTGTTTCAGTAGCCCACAACAGATTGAGTCAAGCTCTAATAAAACAAGCATTGGCTTGAGCAAAATCCACAGATGCTCAACGCCTGCTTATGTCGAGCCAGGCAAACTGGAAATGGGATGACCAGACAAACAGGGGTGGTGAGAACTTTCAGCAGAAGGAGGCGAAGCTTTCCAAGGAGGGTATTGCAACAGGTATGTTTGCTGTTAAATTTCTGGGGGGTTTGCTCGGAGGTGGAGGTCCTGGCATCAACCATGTTTCCAAGCCCACATCTCACTGTAGATGCCCTGTTTGACTCTGCATGTGGGGAAGGGATGAAGCATCTCAAGCTTTCCAGTCATTTATTCCATCCTTCCTCTCCAGTGTCCATACAGCCTCATTGGCACTAGGCCTTGCTAAGCTCTCTCTATCCCTCTGCTTCTTTCTACTCCATCTGCTCACAGCACAACCCTTGGTGCCAGCAGCGTTTCTGGGACCTGCTTTGACTGCTCAGCGCAGTGCATTGCCACAAACCTGCTCGCTCTTGTACAGCCACATCTCAGGTAGGCTCAGGGCTGCAAACACCTTGGCCTTCTGCCCCTTCAGCTCCAGGGTGCCCGACTTCTGGCAGTGAGCAGTGTTGGCGGGCCGGGGCCGGGTGCCCACCGAGCGCTGGTCCACTACCTTCTTCTGCAGAGTGGAGCACCACTCGTTCCTCTGGGCTGTGCAGAGTGGAGAGGTGTCAGCAAGTGGCTCAACCCCTGCCCACCCGCCCAGCCATGGAGCAAAATGTTCATCGGGGTGGCAGGGCAGAAGACCCTGACCATTCATGGGGGTATGGAAGGGGTGGGAGCGGCTCCGGTGAGGCCCTCACTGTAGGAGGGAGGCAGGAAGGGCTCCTCAAGGACCAAGGTTTCCTCAAGGGCCCCTGTTTGGGTTTTTTCTTACCCTCATTTTCAGCACGGAAGACAAAGATCCGGTGGCTGGTGACGACTTGGAACTTGTTGTCTTTGGTGGGGCGAGCCATCTCGATGACAGACAGTGGGATCACCCCTTTGGGGTAGGGCTCCTGGAACAAGACCCAGGCTGGGTTACCCCTTTGCCCTTCCTGCAGGCACCTCTGCAGCCTACGTTACAGCACAGCTCTATTCCAGCTACTCCAGGACCCACTTTACAGGCACGCTGGCATCAAAACTGCGGGGCAGAGGAGGGAAGGGGCCATGGCAGGGCTTCGCGTGAGCCTCCTGCAATAGCAGCTGCTCTGGGGCCATGTGCTGAGTGCCATGGGCACAGGGCGAGCCCGGCTGGCTGCGCTGTGGGGCTGGAGCGGTAGCACTCACCATCCCTGCCAGCTCCCTGCAGCAACCGGGTCAGGGCTGCACGGAAACACCAAGGAAGGCTGAGAGGATGTGAGACAGGAAAGAGCTGTTCACTCATCCCACGCACCTAATTTGCCGTGTCAGCACCCACAGTTAGAAAACTTGCCCAGTCTAGCACGTCATCTACATCTCCCGCATCCTTGGCTCAGTGCTGCCCTTACCCTGTGGCATGGGGGCTACCAATCCATCCTATAGGCAGGGCCTAAAAATTTGAGTTGAGAGAGGCCTGAGGCAAAGCCCCTTTATGGCTTTCCCCAGGGCTTCTGGCATGGAGAGACCACCCTCACCACTTCCCCCTGAGGATGGATCTGTGGGATGGGGCTATTCCCTGAGCTGCCCAGAGAATGGTCCCTCCAGCATGGCCATGGTAGACTTCTTACAGGAGAGGAACCAGGGGATGCGGAGGGGAGATGGCAAGGCACCCCAATTAAGTGGGACAGGGCAGACCCTGACCCTTCTCACCTTCTCACTGCTGAAGTACATCAGGTTCTTCCCATCAAAGCGGACATAGCGCCTCTGGAAGACGTAGTTCCTATTGGGATGGCAGAAGAACAGGGCTGTTGGAAAGCACATGGTGCCTCCTAGACCCCCCACCTGCACACACACATGGGGGCAGGGACACTTGCAGAATTGAGACTGTGGTAGGTGGAGACCAATAGTACTCGGATGTCTGTGGGGAGGTTTGGCTCCCCTCAGATATCTCTCAGGGGTTATGGGACTTGCTGACCAGTCCAACCACATCACCAGCTGTGACCAAAGGGGTTTTACATTATGGGGGCCTGGCTGCCCTGTCATCACCCTGCAGGTGGGCACATACCCCTGTGGGGAGAGCTTGTCCAGCCAGCCTCTGAGCATGGTGGGCCGAGGCTCGGAGAGGGAGGTGTAGCTCGCATAGGGGGAGATGGTCAGGTCATCCAGGACCTCATCTGGGTACAAGTGGGACGGCAGGCTGAACTGGGTGCCCTCAGCCTGTGGTGCCTCCACGGTGGAGTAGCCCTCGGTGTCATTCTGGATGATGCGGTTGATGAGCCTGCTTCGTGTCTCCTCGTCCTCGCTCTTCCCATCACTGCTGCACTCGCTGCTCGTCCTGCACGAAAAGGGGCGGTGGGAGCTCTGCTGTGTCCCCTTGGCCGCTCAGCAGCCACGCAGGGACTCACAGAGCCTCTGATCACTGCCATCCTCTCAGAAGATGTCCCACACTGCCCCGTCCCCACCCTGGTTTGCTCAGGACACCCAACAACTTGAGTCTTTATGAGCAGAGCGGGATCAGTACTCATGAGCCCTGTGGCCACCAGCAGCTCCAGGCTTAGACAGCCCCATATCAAGGCAGGAGACCCAGAGGCATGATGCCCAAAAATAGTCCCCCTGCTTGGGGGGGGGGACTCGTCCTGGGTGATGCCACACGGGCCACCACACACCTTCAAACCCCAGGCCTCTGCCTTCACCTCAACACACCATGGCCAGCAAAACGAAGTCATGTACCACCAATATTACATGTTGCACACGCTGCTCTACAGCCATCCCTGCTCCCTCCCTGTCAGAGGGCTTTGTCCTGGCCTATCTCCTCCTCCCTGCTGGCTCCCGGGACACGGCCAGCAGCCCCCGGCCTCACTCCCCCATGCCCCAGAATGGGGCTGCAGGTCTCCAAAGGGACTGGGATGGACAAAGGGACGGGCAGGTGGAGCTCCTGCATCAGTGTCATTTTCTCGGAAAACTATGCTAAAAATTCAAGCCAGACCCGGTGAGACTATCCAACCATAACAATGAAAGGAAATTATAAAAATAAACTGCTAAGCCTGCCCTTTCCCCTCACATAGACTTTTTTTTTTCCCCCCCCCCAAAAAGGAAATGTTTTGGAGAATGCCTGAAAGTCCAGGAGCTCACAGGGGAGCTGCCCAGGTGCTGTGGTGACGGGCAGGAAGACATTCATGACAGTTTCTGCAGTCAGTAGCCAAGACCACTGGGACAGCACTCGTGATGCTGATCTACTTGTGACTGATTCTGGCCTCAGTCCCAGGACAAAGGAAAAGCTCCAAGAAGAGCAAGGAGGGTGGTCAAAGCTCTGGAATAGTCTCTGTCTGAGGACAACCTGAGTAAACTTGGGCTCCCTGGCCTCAGAAAGAGGTGATTGATAGGAAGGAGGTTACTGAAGTCATGAGTGGCATGGGAGATCCTGCTGGTCACCCTCACTTCAGTTACGGGAATTAGGAGCCATGGGGCAAAGCCAGCAGGAGCAATGTAGAAAAAACACATGAAAGGAGAAGCTGATGTGTGGGACTCTCTGCTACGAGATGCTGTAGATGGAGGGGGCTACTAAATATGAGAAGCTATCTCTAGATTACAAGTGCATGGGCTAGAAATACTTGCAGAACAGGAGAATTATGCTGTACATACCCCCTGCTCTTCAACTCTTCTTTAAGCACCTGTTTTTAAGCTCACATGGGAGCCAGGATACTGCATGAACCCTGGCTTTGACACTTGCTGGTGTCTTGCTGTGCCCTTTTGCAGCCATAAGGCAACAGATGTCCCTGAGCTGTGTGGTAGGGGCAAGACCTGAAGTTTGACTGGGAACATATGACTGAAACCACACAGACTAGTTTTCCATATGTCTCTGTGAGGTGAGATACTGTTGTCGTGGCCTAGGGCCAGAATCAAGAAATCACCAGATCTGTAAATCTTGGGACGACTTGAGGGACAGGGCTCAGAGACTGCGAGCATTGGGGACTGACAGCAGAGGAAGGGCAATGACAACCCCAGCCATCACTAACGGAAATGCTGAACAGAAAGTGAGGAGATCAAGACTTGGAAGAGGGACCCGACCTGTCATCCCAGGGAAGCACTTGGCATGTGAAGGTCACAGAGGTCTGGGTGATGAGTCCCCAGCCAAAGACTTGCTTCTAAAACACCTCTGGTCCTTTGCTGAAGGTGCTGAGATGCCCCCAGGTGCAGCTGCAATGCCAGGAAATCACAACCCCCAGGTATAGGGGCAGATCCAGAGAAGTGGGATAGCATATGGAGCTGAGAAGGTTGGTGGAGGAAGGAAATGACATATTTGGTTCCAGTGTCTGCAAGAAACATGAGAAATGGCCATGAAGAGCTGGGAGTTCCAAAGTACGACCGAAATTGCTCTTTAATTAGTGTAACAGAGCCTTGGCAGGGTAATTTGTCTGGCTGAAATCCCAGTCCAGAGTCCAACTTCCTCAAGATGGACTGGCCAGGGAGATGGAAGGTTGGAGTCCTGTGTATGTCAAAGAGGTAGACATCAATCTTGAGTGGCAGAGGTGAGTGGGAGACAGACCTGCTAAATGGGTCAGGAAAAGAGAAAGGGAAGAAACATCCGCAGCCATGATTTACAGCTACCGAAAAAAATAGTAGACAAGTAGCATCTGGCTGGGACAAGCAAAGCCCATGGCTTGGTAGGAACAAGATCTCTCAGCATACCAGGGACTCTGGGGAGATGGAGCTTATTGGGACAGAGGACTTCCCCCCAGCTCTGCCCTTGAAGACAAGGTCATGGAGGAAGCTGCTACACATTGAGCATCGAGGTCATGAAGGTCCTCTCCTTTTCCAGCTGGTGTCGGGCAGTGAAAATAAATAATGTTAGGGCCCAGCATTTCCCTTGGGCTAGGAGAAGGGAAGAAATTCACTGCAATAGGTACTTGCAGGAGAGCAATACCTGTGGGGATTTGCTTGGGGCAGAGGCAGTCTCAGGTTGCCAGCAATTACGCAGGAGAACTGGTAGAAGACGAAGGCTCCAGGATTGGAAGAAGGGCATAGCATGGTGAAAGGGGGACCAAGGAGTCATGGATAGGTGGAAGTCAAGGACTAAATAACTGACCTGCTTGTGGGGAGCTGGAGGATAAAAGAGAGATAAGAAATAACTGTCAACGATGCTTGAAGTCTCCTTTACTCCAGCGAGAAAAGCACTGGACAACTCTCTCACTGGAGAGCTTGTCCCCTTGAGGTTGGAGCTGCATGCCTGGACCTTGGTCCTTGCACAGGGGCCTCTCTCACACTGTGACCACTGCCCAGCACCGACCATTGACATCACTCAGAGCTCTGAGCCAGGCAGCAATGGGGTCAACATTAAATTACTGCAACAGAGTGAGAGGAGTTATCTAGGTTGAGAAAGCAGATGCCATGCCAAAGGGGTTTGAGGGCCTCTCTGAGGTTTGAGATTAGGAAATATTTCCCTTAATGATCTGTTTGAAGTGTTAAGAGATGCTAATTCTGTCTGCAATGGTCTGGTGCTGGGCAGGGTGCCAGGGATGGGGGAACAGGATAAAGAGCTGCCACCACCGGAGCACTGAGGCCAGTCTGGGGGGAAAGCACTGGACCAGCTAGTGAGAAGTGGAAGGATAACAGAGGGCTGGCCAGCCAGATCCGGCAGGACAGGGCAATGGATGGATAGTCAAGGCTTTTCCATCTCTTGTTCAACCCTCTGAGCTCCCAGGCCTACTTAGAGCTCAAGGTGGGAGAAAAAAAGAACTGTAAAGTGCAGCTTCTGACACCCTTACGATGACCACATCCTGTCTCTTCTCTGTGAATCCAGACTGCAGACACTCCGGGGAAGGCTCAGGAGCTGCTGGTAGAGCCACTGGCCAATGCCTCTGCATTGGTATTTGTCCCCATCACTGAGCAGGTGAGTGCCTCCACATGGGGGCACGATTTGGGGTCCCAGCTCCACGAAGGCTGCTGGGTGGGCGCCGCGAGCACTGGGCTGATGCCCAGCCCTGCAAACTGCAGGTTCAGAGGCAGCAAGGCAGATTTCAGAATTTCTGCCTATAAAACTCCTCTTCCCAGGAATCTGCAATTCCCATTCTCATAGACCATGCTGATTTTGATGCCGGGGCTCACCATGACACTGGATCAGGCCATGCTGCTGTGACTCACACCTGGAGCAGGAGAACAGGTGGACTGACCTACGCTGAAGCCTGGAATACAGGGAGAGAAGGACACCCCAGCCTGGCAAGGACACAGGGAGGAGCGAAGGACGCAGAGTTGCAACTTGCCTTCTTCTAAGTAACACAGGAAAAGGAACCCTCCCCTTTCTAAATGGGAAGAGCAGCTTTCCTTCCTCTTTCTCAGATGCTATCAGGAGTCATGGAAAGTACATTTCAAAAGCATTTTAAAGGTGCCTGCACAACATCAGTGGAGGAGAAAAGCAGCTCCTCCTGTCTGCAGGTCCTGGCTGCTCTTTCAGCAGGGAAGGGCTGGCTGCAATGCAAGCAGCTGAAAGACTCTCCGGGCAGGGAAGCCTTAATTCAAAATTTCAACATAGGGACAAAACATCTTCACCTCTGAAGATCAGACTGATCAAATCTGGGCAGAACTCTAAGCTTTGCAGCGATTGTCAGGCCCATGAGGACCCAGTTTATAGTTGGCCAGTGCACAGAAGAAACACCAATGCTCTATTAACATAGCGCAAAGCTGACCCGGTGCAGTCACACACAAGATGGTGGAGCAGAAAGCTCTGACCTGAGCATGTTGGAGAGGCAGGGATTGGGCATCTCCCTGGAAAGAGCTTGGAGCCTTCCCATTCCTGAGCTGGCTTTGGGGAGTGCTCTGATCCCCAGCGCTCGGCATGCCCCTGTAGGGTTTCCTTGAGTCCCACAGCCAAATCTGGGTCCCACACAGACTATGGATGTCCAGTGCCACCGGGCACTGACCCAGCTCCAGGCTGGCTCTCCTTCCTGACACTCATCGGACAGTGTGCTGCTATGAACAAAGAGTTTGGTGGCACCTGGAGTGTCTGCTGGTGAGCCCTGCCCCACCGAGAGCTGCTGTGGGCACTGCTGCCGCTCCTCTCTGAGCAGGACAGCAGCTCTTCTCCAGAGATGGCTGGTTCAGTCCTTGCCTTGTCCGAATATCTGCTGCAACAGTGTTGGTGAGGCCGCACAGCCCCCTCTCAGGACTTGGACCATCCCCAGATATGTCCCCCACTCACAATCGAAGACCCTGGTGCCCAGCCCGGTCTCAGAACCCCAGAGGAGGGAGGCCCCGAAGCAGAAGGTTGGTGCCTACCTGCACGCTTCTCTCTCCAGCTCCAGCTCTGCCTCTCCATCGTAGCTCTGCCTGGAGGGGGTGCCCACAGCCTGGAGGAGACATCAGTCAAACATCCTCAGCACCCCAGGCCTCCTCATGGCAGGAACCATGGGCAGCCCCGAAGGCCTCATCTCACCTTCTGATCCCGGGCAGGGACCCCGTGTCCCAAGATGGTCTCGCTGTAGGGGCTGACAAACGGCTCCCCGAGGTCTGTGCGCAGAGAAACGGCAGTCAGCGGTGCCCTCTGCAGAGCAGCCACTGCTTGGGACCACAGCAACTAGCTGGGACCACAGAGTCTGTGGAGGGTGACTGAGTCCTGAGCCTGCCTTCATGCTCCCAGGGCACGCCAGCCTTGGATGGGTGGTGGATGCCCCAAACACATGCGAGGCTGGAGCCTGCCTTGCCATGAGGAAGGAGCACAGGGCAGGACATGGGATGGCAGGATGGGATTATGGGATCGTTGTCCCTGCCCTCCCATGGGGACCCGCCACCCAGCGAGGACCCTCACGGCTTGGGGGGTCTCACCTGGCTTGGTGGATGGTCTCTGTGGGATGGGGGGCAGACCTGCGATGGGCCAGCCAGGACTCCTACAAGAGCAGAGATGGGTTATTGCAGCCGTGGCAGCCTGTGCGGAGCCGAGATTAGGGGAGTCTGGCAGGACCTCGGGACAGCTGATGCTTTTTTCCCACTTTGTTTTCCTGTCTGTCTCACATAGCCCAGAGGCCGCGTCCCACGAGGGCTCAGCCCAGCTTTGTCTGCAAGAACGTGCAATATTCCCACCGTGTTCCCAGCACCATCCCTGCCCCCCTTCCCCCCAGAGCGGCTCCAGGCTGGGGCCAGCCGGCTCCAGAGGCCCCCAGGCATTTCCTGCACAGCCCCCTCCGTCCCCTTCAGCCGCTCCCACGCTGGTCTCGGCATGAGCCCTCGTCTGTCTCCACACCTTCCAGGAAGCCTCAGGATGGGGCAGCAGCCTCCTAAAGCCTGGAGGCGCCAGGGCCTCTCAGTCTGTAAGGAGTCCACATTTATCTCCTCACCCCTCTGTGCCCGGTAAGCGAGTGTGGAGAGCAGAGAAAAGAGGCTTTGTCATCATCCGTGGGCCTGGCTAGCACGGGGCCCCCAGGAACCCGACATGGCTATGGACAGCACGGGTGATTCTGCGGGCTCTGTGCAACCCCAGTCTTGCTCTTTGCATCCAACCCTGCCCCTTGCTCGGCTCCCCGGGCAAGGAAAAGCATCTACTTACTCAGGCTTCTCGGCCAGGCAGGTCAGCTCCTGCAGGGATGGACCTGGAGACTCCACGAGAGTCCGGCCCTGGGGACTGTCCTCCCCTCCTGTGTCCGCAGTGAATGCCAAAGATGGCTTGAGTCCTTCGTAGATGATGTTGGAAACCATCTCCAGCCTGGCCTGCCCCGAGCCCGGCTGTGGGGACACCCCAGAGGGTGGTGAAAGGTCTCTCCTGCCGGGGGTGGCTGTGGCGGATGGGGAAGGGTCGGATGCGGGACGACTCTCCGGCAAACTCGCTGGGCTGGGCTCGGCCGCGGGGACCCTGTGGCTGAGCCGGGGTGGCACGGACGGGGCAGGTGACGAGGGCTTTTCTGAGGCTTCCAGGGCTTGTCCGTGATCTGCAGCTGCAGGGAGCCGTTTCTCCTCCCGGGAGCTCTCCCGCACTCCTGACCGGGATGCTCCTATACCCATGGTTGCTCTCGGCTGCTGTGCCGGCCTGGGCTCTGGGCTCTCCAGGTCCGTGGATCTCTCCCCTGGCACAAAGCCCTCCAGCACCACGAAGGGCCCAGGAGTCCTGTTGCTGTCCGGGCTTTGTGTCAGCACCGTACTCCGCGCTGCCGGCGTGGGCGCCGAGCCCTGCTCTGGCTTGGAGCGATGGAAAACCGTCCGTGGCTTGGGGACCGGCCTGGCGAGGGGTGGAGCAGGATCCTTCTCCAGAGGGGATGCCTGGCCTGGCGCAGCAGCGCGTTGCTGCATCCCACAGACGTCAGCGGCCCCTCCCGGCTCTCCTTTCACGGCCTCGTCGCGTGCGTGGGGGCCGCGGGACACGTCCGGGGCCTCCATCCCCGCAGCAGCTCGAGGACGGGCATCTCCTGTCACGGGTGCCCCCAGGGGCTGCCCAAGCAGCCGTGTCTGATGCACCAAATTCAGGATCCTTTTGCGGTGCCCAGTGGCGGGGATGCCGATCTGCTGCAAGTCCTCCCCGTCCAGCAAGGTGGCATCTCTGGCCACATGGTAGCCGTGCCGCTTAAAAACATCCCGATACCTCTCCAAGTGGATGGTGGCCAGCCAGTCTGCGATGTCGGTGTCAGGACTGCACTGGAAGCTCATGGCCCAGCTGTGCCTCTGCAGCTGCTGCTCATCCCATCATCTGAGGACGGATGGGAGAAAGGGGAGTGAGGAGGCAGTGGGAGGAGAGGACAGGGTCCCAGCTGCATGAAGCAACTGCTGAGCCAAGCTGTGGGAGCGCGGGAGGCTGCCGGGGCCCGCATGGGCACCAGCGCTGCCCCCACGTCCCGCACCGCTCACCTCGCAGTCCCAGGAGCCGGGCGCTACCAGCACATCCTGTTGTTCCGCAGCCCGGGGCCGCTCCGCCCCTCCCCAGAGCCGCTGGCTCCCGGCCCCGCTTTGCGAGGGCCGGGGGGACGAGTGGTGCCAGGCGGCGGCCGCGCGGAGCCGAGTGCGGCCCCAGCGGCCGAGGGGCTGCCCGGGACAGATAAGGGCCCTGCAGCTGGGCCCCCCCCCGGGGATGCGCT